TTTGGCCACAGAACGTGCCCAGCAGGTTGCCCCGGTCCTGGGTGGCTCCGTTGTAGACCTGGAGGTAGTCATAGGCACAGGCAGCGTGGTACTCCAGCAAGAAGTGGCTGAAGGAGAGCAGCACGGAGGAGCCCTCGGCCACCACGATCAGCCACGTGCACTCTGTCTCGTAGGGGTACGGGCCGGGGAAGTTGGGGCTGGAGAAGTTACCAGAGGGGGCTGAGAGCACCCCCCCGCATTTGATGCCTGGGGAACACAGAGGGAGACGTGATGTGCCCTTTCCAAGAGAAGCCTAAAAGGATGGAGATGGGCTGCTCAGCACCGGCTCCATCCCACCAGCAGCTTTACGGAAACACCAGCACCCTGCACACCCGCAGCAGACTTGTTCACCTCTTCTTTGGAGGACACGTGTCCCTCCACCACCTTTCATCCCTCCACCATCCCATGCTGCCCCCCCAGCCCCTGCACTGCCCCATGGTGTGGCTGCAGCAGGGCTCAGCCGTGCCTGTGTGCTTGTCCTGCCACCAACAGCACGGCATTCCCAGCTACTTATGGCTGGGAAAAGAAAGTAGGGAGTGAGTTTTAATCATGCAGTGTTTCCAGCCCTTCAGGTTCATGCCTCTTGCTGGTGATGCTCCCTCCATATAATGGTGGTACCAGTGGATTCAAGCTGGGAGAAATAGGGGTGAGGGGCTCCATGCCCTCAACAATGAGTTATGCACGTAGGGATTGATTTTCTAATGAAATCTTTATACATGGTTATTATAAAATAAAAAGGGGGAGGTGGGGGGGGGGGTGCAGCTGCCACATTCCCCTCAGTCTGATTAGGGTTGGGGTGAAGGGGTTGGTATAGTGGGCACATACATCATGTCTGGGAGGGACACAGACCCCAGGGGACATATGTGGGTTCCCAAGCAGGGCTGGGCACCCGCTGCCATCAATCTGGGCTGAGGATATTGCAAATCAATAGGCAGGCAGGACTGGCTGCTCTGCATCACACTGGCTGGTGTGGTGACCTCCCAGTGAGGGGCGTCCTGTGGGTGCAAGTGATGCTGCACCACAGGAAATGGGCAAGGGGGGGATGTGTGTACATGTGTGTGTTGGCACAAGCAGCAGAGCTGGCCAGATCTAAAGTCTCCTCGCTAATTACTGGGGATGGGCAATAAAGTAATTCAGGGCTGGTACTAAAGGAATAATGTTAGTGAAATAGCTACCCAAGGGGCAGGTAGCCACAGGGCAGGTAGATGGATGGATGATGGGCTGGGAGCCTGGAGGTCCTCTGGGAAGTCTGGGTGGGTTCAGGCAGCACTGGTGGCTGCTCCACCCCCAGCAGCACCCACACCAGGGGCAGGATGAGGGGCAGGATGGGGTTTGATTTCTGACGCAGCCTTTTTGTAAGAAAGGCCTTGCTGTTTGTGGGGAGGAACACTGCTCCTCAGCAGTTACTAGGCTGACCTGGCCCACCCTGCCCCCCAGATCACCATGTTGTCTGCTAACCCTGCCCTGCATCTTATCCAGGTAAGGTGAGGGGTTTACTACATGCACAGCAACACACACATGCATACATGTGTCTATCCATGTGTCTCTCTCTATATATATTTATATAAGTACGTGCATATGTATTTATATAGGCAACCCCAGAAGTTAACAAAGGCTTCAGCAAAGCAGCTCAACACCACGACAGGCCAACCTTGCAATCTGCAGTAAAATCAGCATGAAGCAGAAGACCAAGCACGGGGCAGTGTTCTGCACTTGCTGCCACACACACACAGCAACCCCAGATCCCAGCTCCTTTCCTCCGCCCAAGCTGGGGGATCCCTGGCCTGGGCAACCCCCTCTCCCTGCATGGGCTGAGAGCTGGGACCCACTTGCACCCCAGAGCCACTGCAGTGCCCACAAACAGCCTGCTCCTCCCCAGGGACCACGGATGCCCAGCAGCCCCAGGGTCCCCACTGGGAGCTGGGACCAGGCTCTTACCTCTGCTGGGAGCATCCCCGAGAGCCCCACACAGCAGGGCCAGCACGGCCAGGCAGCCCACCCCTGGGCACCCCATCCTCCAGCAGGCAAACCTCCCCTCACCAAGGCCCGAGCATCCTTTCAGAGCTGTCTGTCTGGCAGGAAAAAAATAAATAAAGACAGAAATAAATAAAAAGCAGGAGGACTAGAATTAATAGCGGAATGAATAATTCATCGCTTGCTTGAATTAAGAGCGGCAAGGTAACTTGATCTATTCCTCCCTTCCTTCACTCAGTTTTAATGATCTGGATCAAATGTCCCAAGGATTTACACTATACCAGATACCTTGTCAATACACTATATTTAGAAGAGATATTAATGTTTCAGATATGGTGTATAACAGCAGTAAGTCTGGGCTGACAATATGCCCTTAAGGGGCTATGAAAATAATTTAGTTCACCGGGCAAGCCAGCCAACCAAAATGGGAATTTCAGCCTTACCATGGAAAAGCACCTCAGGAATTAGTGTGATTTATACTGCAGCACCCACTGCACAAAGCCAAGGGTGGTAAAGGCCAGAGAAGCAGGGAGCTGGATTTAAAGACACCCGCGTCTCCACGTCAGCTGCCAGGTCAGCATCCCTGCAGTGAGTGCTCAGGCTCAGCAGGATGCTCAGCCTGGGAAAGCAGCAGTTGTGAGCAAATCCCACCTTCCCTGAGGAAGATTAGAGAGGAATTGTGAGTCATGGGTGAAAAACATTATTATAGCACCTGCAAAGGCTTTGGAGAACTACCAAGTTCTTTCACACCACCTCATGCTCCTTCTCATGCAGGATGCACTTGGCTGAAGGTAGTCAAACCTTTGTGTTGGGTGGGAAAGATGTGCTTCTCATGCTGGAGAACACCAAACCCAGCAGCATTTCAGTTCCTTCTCTCCCATCAAGGAGAGACAAGACTTTCTTGCTGCCACAACCCACACCCAGATGAATGCCAGGAAACAAAAACCCACCAGGGCTGCCTGGCGTGAGGCACCTGTGCTAAAAAAGTCACCTTCAAAGCAGTAGGGCAAGAAGCAGCAGAGATCTGTAAATCACAGGCAAGAAGACAAGTTGCATTTATTAATTAAGCAATGAGGATCGATGCCTGAGACATTTCCTGTGGATTAATGATGGGCTGGGAGGAGCTGATAGCCTGAGGTGCAGCTAAGGACCATTAACACCAACTGGTCATTAATCCCCAGGAAAAGCTCCGTGCCCAGGTCATTAAGTGCCTTCATATATTTATGGGTAATAATAACAACAATAATATTTGTACAGGTTCTGTCCCCGGTGCCTGACCTCGCTGGAGCCATGGTGAGAGCTGGTGGGACCACTGGGACATGCCAGCCAGGAGCCTTCTATCCTGAATCCAGCTGAGGTGGGGGACATCTGGGTATCTGTCCTGGGGCGCTGGGCACTGTGTCACCCCACAAACACCAAAAGCAAGTGCACGTTGGAACAAGGAGATGCTCCACTCGAGTGCAGGCTCTGGGAGGTGGCTGAGACACTGGCACATCTCTGACTGACCCCTCAGGGATGTCACAGAGCTTAATTAGCTGCTTCCCTAACGGCCTTGGAGAGGAGGACTGTCCCTGTGCCGTGGGGACAGCATCCATGGCAGAGGTAGGAGAGCTCTGGCACCACAGGCTGTGGTGCAGGGGCCTCTCCTGCAGATTTCCACACCACAGCCCTGACTCAGCCAGGAGAGCTCGGCCCTCCCTACCACAACCCTCTGGGCTCAGGGACAACACACTCCACAGCTTCTCCATTCCTGTGTGATGGAGCAACATGTTCATCCATCTCTGGCAACACTCACCATCCTCCTGCCCTTCCACCACCAGCCTCAGCTCCAAGACAAATCCCAGCACAGAGCCAGCACCTGGGACACTGTTTCCTGTGTGGCTGCTCTTCTCCATCCCTCCAGCTGCACTCGGCAGTCCCGCTTCATGCCATGCATAAGCGATACCCCCAGGAGATGGGGGGCCAGGGCTGTGCAGCACAGCAGCTGTGCCTCCCTCCCAGGAGACAGCATCCATCACCTGCCAGCACATTCATCCTCTCCTGACCTGGGGATGGCCCTTCTCCAGCTGGGCCTGATTCCACAGGGAGGTCTGGCTGGAGGTGCTCTGACTGCAGCCAGAAACACAGCGGGTGATTTCAAGGTGTGCAGTATTGGGGCTGCTTCTATTCCTCTGCAGACAAATTTATAAATCATGAGTAAAAAAGACATTTGATTCATTTAAATAGAAAGGATGTGATCAGGACTGTGAGGCTTCAAAGAAGATCAAAGGTTTAAATACGATCCCCAGGAGAAACAGGAATTATTTAGGCAGGGAATAATGAGATGAAATTAAGAAGGTATTTAGGCTGTGCATGAGGAAGAAGAAAGGAAGCAAAGCAAAGCCCCTCTCCCCAGCACAGCACTGCACGGGTGGTGGGGGCTTCCTAGGGAGCAGCCAGAGCACCAGAGCACCCTGCCTGCACCCCCTGCCCAGAGGCAGGGTGCAAGCCCTGGCAGCACCCCCAGCCTTTACTACAGGGAGCTCACCCACCTCCATCTCCCCACATCTCCCAACAATCAACAGCGTCACCACCATTTCCCTACAGAACTGCCCCCCTGGGGCACTTCCCAGGCCTCCAATGGGAAGGAAACCTCTCCTCTTTCCTCAGCAGGGAAAATCCTGCCCCAGAGCCTTTCCATCCCGCAGCTCTGCCTTTGCAAGACCGCCAGACCAGCCTCTGAAAGGGGCTGTGCCCACGGGGGGTGGGTTGGGAAGAGGGGACTCCTGCGAAATGACAAAAGGCAGGAGGGGGAAGGGAAGGGCAGAAAACAGAGAATGAAGTGCCCGTGGGCAGTTTAAAGCCCCCTTCGAGTTCGTATTTCCAAGGATATTGTCTCCCCCGCGGAGAGTATGTCGTGGCCAAGCCCCCCTGTCCCCTCCGGCGGGCGGCACCTCCTCCCGCTCCGCCTGCCCTTGCGGGATTGCAACCCGCAGCATCCACAGCCTGCCCGTCTCTCACCACCCTCCCTCTCAGCCGGGAACAAAGACGGGAGGCTTCGCGGCAGAACGGCCGGACCAGCTGGTTGGGGTTTAACCGTGGTGGCCCATATGTGCTGAAATACCCAGACATATCGGGGTTGCATTTAAAGGAACAGGCCCAGCTTTCCTGCGGAAAGTTGTCGCTTTCCCCAGGCGAGCGTGAAGTTTTTTTACCTCAGGCCTTTGCGGCAAAAGCCTAGAAAGGCAGAATATTTAAAGCAAGAAGGGTTGTTTAAGCAGGGTTTTCAGAATATGAAGTACTCGAGGGAAATACTTTTGCCATGTTCCTACCTAAGGCCAAAGTAAGGAAAGTGACCAGGGAAAGAAACTCCTTATTTTATCAGCCCCCAGGTGACTTCCAGGGGCTGAAGAACAGCTTGCCTTGCCTTGGACCTCCCGTGGAAAACTCCCTGATGTCCCTTTGCTAAAAGCCAGAACCCTACTCTAGGGTACAAAGATGGCTTTCTTGTCAGCCCTTGCTCAGAGGAAGTGAACATAAAAGCTGCAGCTACAGGGGACAATTCCAGACATTTGGTAACTGGAGACAAATCTCAGCACTGTGAGGAGAACCAACACTTCATCCCAAAGTGCAAATTGGAGCCACTAGTTTAGTGCACATTGCTTATATGGAGTAACTCTGCACAAAGGAAAGGTTAGTTGAGATGAGTATTGTTTGTTAGAAGTAAACAATGAGGCACAAACAATAATGCAACAATGTCTGTCACAACCCAGGAAACATGGGATGAGCTGGGAATGAACAGAAGAAGCCAAAGGTGTGCAGAAAGGCTGTATTTCCAGGTGTAGTTAGCAAACACAGAGGTCTAAGGAGACAAAAGGTGCTCCTTCTCCTCTCCATTAGTGAGCAACAGGGCATCTGAGGCTCACAGAGGCTGAAGTCACTTGCCTGGCATCACCCAGTCAGGTAATGACACAAACAAAACTAACCCCATGGACTCCAGTGCCAGGCCAGACCTCCACTGTTCCCTTGACCATGCTGTCTTCTCCTCAAGGACTAGATCTCTCCTCTGATGTGATAACAGGGCACAATTCCACTGCAGACTAACACAGATCATAAAGCAAGTCACCAGTCTTCATATTACAGCAGAGCCATGTACTTGGATGCTTTTTAGTACCCTTGGGAGATCTGTTAATATGTCATGAGGAGACTTCCCCTAACATTACTATGCTGTTCCCTGAGGTGTGGGTGATTGTAGCAGCTGCTCTGGAGTGGCACCTGATGCTTAAAACACTTTCAAGAGTGAGAATCATACTGGAGACATGTATTTGATCCAAGGGCCTATGAAAGCATATTCACAAGGAACTCCAGATGACCAATTCTCAGCAACATCCTCAGAGAAACAAGGATGCCTAAGGCTTGGCCTAGTGTTCCTCAGGTCTGGAATGTCCTGCTAAAAAACAAAACAGGATCTTTCTTCAATTCCTGCAGCTTTCAAGTATCTACTCATATCTTCATTGAATGCAGAAGAGCCACAGATTAATACAAATGGCTTTCTTCTACAGGAATTGATTATTGTCTTCATCAAGTCTTCATTGAGACGGCCAGTGTATGTGTTCTCCTGGTAGCTCCAAGGAAGTTCTTCCAGTGATGTTTCCTGAAAAGACAAAAGGTTTGCAGTATGCCATGTTAAAAGGGACAACTGATTGCTTACTGCTGAATCTCCCTCTTCCCCTCAGAGTATTGTACAGGATGTTTGTCACTCCATCTGGGTAGAGCTGACCCATCCCAACAGTTACATTCCTCTTCCAAAGCCCAGATCAAATCCTTCCCTGTCACAAGATCTCCCTACTTGCTCTGAGCAGACTGAACCAAGCCAGAGTCCTTTGAGAACCACTTCCAATGATGCCTTTTCTATTCTCAAGTCCTAAACCCCAAGTCTGTTCCTCTCTACTGCCTCTTCCATCCCCAAGTCTTTCAGTCCCATCTCCCTTGATCACAACGGGAAGCAGCCAGCCCTGCTCCAAACACAGCTCTGATCCCATGAGCAATGTTCGATCCCAT